AATTTTTTCTCCCGTATGGGTTCACTTTTTTCTGTTTTGATGAAGTCTTTTGATGCACATAAGTTTCTGATTTTTAGAATGTCCCAACCATCTATTTTGTCTTCTTTTGTTTGTGTAGTGTTTGCAATGTTTGGTTGTTTGAATGTGCCCTGTATTAGAGCCTTTAAACTTGTCCCAGATTTTTCATTGATGATCTTTATAACTCTGAGATTCACATTTAGGTGTTTAATGCATGCCAGCATCATTTTTGATGGGAATATTCTTTCCGCATTGAAGGGAAATATATTTTCTTCTAATACTTGTATACGTAATTTAACATTTACTTTTTGAATCTGTTGCTTATTTTTTTCTGAAATGACTGGCCAATTCTCCCTATACAGTCTTGACTAAGAACAATAATAACAAATAATTACCATCTATTAGCAAATAATGACTATGGATTCCTGGTGTGGTGCTGTAGGATCAACACTGGACTGTAAAACACAAGTTTGGCAGCTTAAACCCACCATCTGCTTCTCTGAAACCCTATCTATGAGCCGGAACTGAGGGGAAGGCACTTAGCAACAACATTAAGTTACTAATGAACTCTGGTATGGTGCTTTAGGAGTAAGTACTGGACTGCTAAACATGCTAACTGCAACATCGGCAGTTCCGAAAAACCAGCCGCTCTTGGAAACCCTGTACAGGATCTCTATGAGTTGGAACCAACTTGATGGCATACAACAAGAAGTAACTAATACATGTTAGACTTTGCTACCTTGTTTACATAGGTTAAATCATCTTCTGTTTTCAATTGAGACATGGAGAGGTACTAATTTCCCCAAGGTTACTATATCACTTTGTGTCCAAGTAGAAGACAAAAAGCACACAGAACTTTAGACAAGGAAATTTTAATAGAAAGAATTACTAAGTGATGGTAGCAGAGTGACTATGTAAAGATGGAAAGAGATAGAATACCCAAGGAAGGAAAAGGGATTTAAATAGAATGCCCAAGCTGGAAGGGATTCAAACTTGATTGAAGGTGAGATTCAGAAGTGTGGGTTTATCTAACCAGAGCTGATAAACAGTCTTGTTAGCAAGAACAGTCTTCTGAGCCATAGGCAAGCTCAGCTGGCAGAAGGACAAACACAGATCAGGAAGGTTATTGCATTTTTGGCGCACTAGACAGCCAGCCTCACAGGACACTTGCTATGGTGTGTGTGGCACTGAGAAAGGGGTATGGGGAACAGTGAACTGGGTTGGCTCACAGCCCTGTGCTATTTGGGCCTCTGTTGTTGCACTGCTACTGCTGTGTGAATTGAAAACTAGATAAGCAGGTAATGAACACTAGAGAGAGTTTCACACTGGAAGCTCTTAGCAGTGTTGGCCAAACAATGGAAAGAAGACTATGATCTCAAGGAACATGGTGGACAAGCTACCCTTTCCTCTTAACAGTATGTCTCCACTTCCCTCTATTGATACAGTTTGCAGAGGAAACACATGCACATTTTCCCAGATCAGCCAATGAAGGGCCAAATTTTAATTGAGAAGCAGTAAAATCATAATTGGGACAATTATGAAATAGTTTGACTCCCATGTTACTCTTCCTGCATTTCATAGATAACCTACCCTTTTCCCACTGATTTGAAATGCTATCATGATCATATATTAAATATTGAAATATATGTGCCTGTTTCTAAACTTTAGTTTGATTCTATTCCATTGATATCTTTGTCTATTTTGTACCCAAACCATATTTTTTAATGAAAAGAAGGGTAACTCCCTCTTCATCATTTTTTTTTCCCAAAGCATTCTCTTCCAGATGAATTTCAGAATGAGCTCATCATATTTCACAGAAATACTTTCAAACTTTTGATTGTCAATGTATAGATTTGAAAGTTAAACAATTTAACAATGATAAATATCTTTATAATATGGAATTATCATATACAGAAATAAATGATCTTTTAAGAGCCAGCCTAGAGATCTATGCTTTTCCTACTTTGGGTTTTAATTTTCTTTGTGTGTGTGTATATGTAGCATAGTTTCACTATTCAAATTTTCACAATTTGTTAAGTTTTGAGTCAACTTGTTAGCCTTATCTTAAGTTATTGTAGTTTCTTTTTATGCCATTTTAGATTTTTTGTTTGTTTTTTAAATTCATAGTGTCTTGGAAGTTATCCATAGGTTGGTGGTTAGGGTTACCATCTATGACATTAGTTGTTTCTGTACAATGTAGTGCTGTATTCCTGGGCAGGTGGCTTAATTTCTCTGTGCATCTGGTTCTTCACTAATCAAATTGAGTACATAAGCAAATCTGATACAGTTGAGGAACCAAACAAACAAAAAAGCGAACTTAGTGCCAATTGAGTCCATTCTGACTTATAGTGAGCGACCCTATACAGGGCTTCTAAGACTTTTACTCTTTATGGGAGCAGACTGCCCCTTCTTTTTCTGTGGAGTGACTGATGGTTTAGTAGCCCAACACTTACCCAACAGTGGGAGTTAAGGAACAATTAATTAATACGATATATTTAAGGGTTTGCCACTGAGCCTGGCACACATTAGGTACTGTCACTGTTTTCTGTCAGCCTCATCTTTGTTGTTCTTACTATCATTTTATGATGTTCCTTACACTGACACTTCCTATCCTGTCATTCCTTTTTTTCTCAAATACACTCAATTCTTACTATTTTGTCTGTGGGAAGCAGTTTAAAGCACCATTTTTTGACTCTTTGTTCTCTACTTATTTTTCTCTCCAGCATAAATATTTTTAGGGAAAATTCATGGTTTTGTGGTCAAGTTAAGTACCTAGGACATTTCTGATGCTAGGAGAGTGCCATAATTTTTGTTCATTTTTTTTCTCTCCCGTTTTGAAATCTTTTAATAAAATGATCTTTTAAATATGTAAGCCAATAGCTTGTTGAGTTGATTTTGACTCAGGGTGACTCCATGTGTTAGAGTAGAACTGTCCACCATAGGGTTTTCATTGTCTGATGTTTCAGAAATGGATTGCCAGTACTGTCTTCAGCAGCGCCTCTGGGTGGACTTGATCTTCTAACCTTTCAGTCAGCAGCCAGGCTTGTTAAGTGTTTGTACCACCCAGGGAATATGTGTTAAATGTGTGGCGTTTCAAATTCAGTTTTTGCTCGCATAGCACCTAACAAAACAAGGGTATATATTTTCATGTTTGTTCTCTTTTTGCAGTTATTAAAGTATTTAAGGATTATCATTATATTTTTGTAAAAGAATATCCAAGATATAACAAAATGAAGGGAGAAACTAAAGACATTTTTCTGACTTTATTTCCTGTTTTGTTTTATAGGAATCAAGAACCCAGTCTTGGTTGCAAACAGACTTTTGTGTGAAGGGCAGAAGGGCAAGCTCTCAGCTGGTCGGATTCCTCCTTGGTAACTGTTTTATTCTGATCCATTTTCCTTGGCTCTTTTGTCTTTAGTGCGTGGGGTCATTGAGCACTAGTCTGTCTACAGAAAGACTGATGATGTTGGTTACACACCAGCCATAGAATGTCTTTGAAAGGAAGACAAAAAGACATACTTTTTTTTTTTTTTTTTTGCACTAAATAAATCTCTACATGAGCTAGAATATTATGGAGTTAAAACAGAAAGGAGGTCAGGGTTAATTTTTTATTTTTGTGGTTAATTATAGAGATGCATTTGCTATTACTAAGTACTCTGTTGTGATGCGTCATTATTGAATGTTAGCAGTATCATATGCATTGGAATTTAGAGTTTAAACTGAATTTTAATTTTGACACGTTTGTAGAATTAAAGTACTTATATATTTTTTTTCTGGAGAAACATATGGTAAAGTTGCGTATTTTCTTCCTGCATAAACATCCTATTTTCATTTAAAAATACTCTGAACTTCAAAATATATATTAAAATAGACAGAACATTGAGGAAAGCCCTCGTGGACCTGTCATCCAGATCCAGTCATTAAGCAATATTTTTGCCCATCATCTGTCACACATATCCAATTTACCCCCTAAAGTATCTTAAAGCAAATGTAGACCCTGTATTTTATCCTCAAATAGTTTTGTAAAGATTCTTAATTTTGTAAAACATAACCTCAATACCATTAGTATGTCTAATTGGCAAATATACTTTAGTACCAAGTCATACTCATTCTGTGTTCAGAATTGTTGCTATAAAGGTTATGTTTGTATTCTGTGTTGAAAGTAGTGACACCAGTACTATAGGGATCACTGTTCTATTTTAAAGTATTGGCAAATTGTCAACTTTGAAAATCGTAAAAAATACCCTTTTAATTATATACCTCTCGGTTAATTGTGGTTCTAGAAGTGTCAAATATTAAAAATTCCCAGAGAAATATCAATTTTTAATATTTATTTGTTACTGGCTTTTCTTTTTCCTTTTCAATTTTATCATGGTAGACTATATATAACAAAATATTTGCCACTTTTCAAAATGAGGAAAACTTCTTAGATATTACCAAACATCTTAAAGAAATGAATTTCTGGGCTTCGGGGAGATCAATACCATAATTTCAGGGGACACCATGGTCTACTGGTATAATAGTCCACAAAGACAAGCGTTCTACATCCTACTTTGATGAGTAGTGTCTGGGATCTTCAAAGCTCATGAGCTGTCATCTAAGGTGCAACTCTTGTTCTCTCCATGTGTGGAGGAAACTGAAGCTACTTGGAATCAACTAGTTCATTGGATCAATAAAACATGTGAACATCAGTTGCCATGGCTATGAGACTAGACAGCGACAGGAAGAACTAGATGGTGCCCAGCTACCACTACCAACTGCTCTGAAAGTGGTCATAGTAGAAGGTCCAAGGAAGAAAACTCAACATTTTAACAAAGACAGGGCTAACTAGCTAAAAAGAGACTGGAGGAACTCAAGACTATGGCCCTTGGCCACCCATCAGGTCTGGAACAAAACTCCCTTCTGTAGCCCAGTTTTCAGCTAAGCAGTAAAAAGGTGTATTGTTGTTAAGTGCCATGGAGTTGGTTCCAACCCATAGTGACCCTTTATAGGATTTCCAAGGAGTAGCTGTGTGTTTGGAACGTGACCTTATGGTACAAACCAACTTTGCAGTCTGATGCAATAAACCACAGTGCCACACCATGGCATATAGGGTGATGTGTCATTATTGTATATAGGGTGAACAAAACCATTAGTAAGGTATGCTCACCATGGGATAATCATTTAAGATCAAAGGGAAACATTTGCTAAGGACAAAGTTAATAAAGGAAGGGAAGCAGGTGGAATGGGAATATGAACCACAGTGAGGAAGTGGAACAACTGTTGTTATATGAAGGGGGTTGCAATCATTGAGATGAAACGAAGTGTATGATTGGGTGGATATAAAACTGATGATCTTCTCTGTAAACCTTCACTGGACACACAATACAAAGTTCCAAACCCCAAGAACATTGGCCATTTTAACTTTTTAAAAAAGTGTAGAATTGAATGACATTAATTATATTCACTACGTTTTGGCTTACATTGTTTGTCTAGTATTGAACTCTCCTTGCAAACCTGATAATGAAACTCATTTGTTCATGTTGTTGTTTTTAAGTGCTGTTGACTTGGTTCTGACTATCAGCGACCCTATATAGGGTTTCTGAGGCTTTAAATTTTTGTGGGAGCAGAAAGCCTCATCTTTCTCCCATGAAGTGGTTGGTGAATTTGAACCTCTGACCTTGTGATGTGCAGTCCAGTGCTTATTCTATGGAGCTGCCACACTCCCCACTTGATCCTGGTGTATTATTCTTTTGGTATGTTGTTGGATTTTATTAACTGGAATATTGTGGAAAATATTTGCAACAATGTTCATGAGAGACGTTGGTGTATAATTTTGTTTTTTGTTGATGTCTTTGCGTGGTTTTGGTATCAGGGTTATGTACACTTCATAACATAAAATTGAGATCATTGCATCTTTTCTGTATTCTGAAATAGTTTGAGGACTCATAGAACTGATTACTGTCAGCTCCTCTCTAAGTAGTTGATTGAATTTGCTAATGAAGTCATCTGGGCCAGGGCTTCTCTGTCTGTCTTTATTTTATGACCCATCCGTTTTCTTCTTTTATGATGAGTTTGTTTGCATTTTCAACCTTAGATTTTGTTAGTTTGTGTAGGTAGTGTGCTTCTAGAAAATTGTGTATTTCTTCTAGGTTTTCAGACTGAATTGACTGTGGTGCAGATTCTCATGGTGCTCCATTCTCATCTGTCTTATTTTAGAATGTTTCTTCTGTTGTGATACCACCTGTTTCATTTCTTATTTTGTTGCTTGATTTTTTCTTTCTTTTCCTTTGTTAAAGTTGTCATTGGTTTGTCAATTATATTAATCCTATCTGAGAAACAACTTGTAGTCTTACTGATCCATTCTGTTGCTTATCTGTTTTATATTTAATTTACTTTTGTGTGAATTTTTTAGTTTATTTTTTTTCTGGTGACTATAAGCTTTTAAATTTCTTTTTCTAATTGTTGGGAATGGGTTATGGTGTTAATTTTGGTTCTTTATTTTTGAATGCGTACATTTTAGTACTATGCATTTTCCTTTGAGTACTGCTTTTGTTGTGCCCCACAGATTTTAGTATGTTGTGTTTTCATTCTTGTGTGATTCAAAGAAAAAAAAATTTAGCTCACTTAAAATTATTTCTATTACCTAATATTTTTAAAGTAGGATGTTATTCAGTTTCCATGTATTTGATTTTTAACCCCTGATTTTTCAGTTGCAGATTTCTGATTTTATAGTGCTGCGATCTGAGAAGATGCATTTTAGTATTTCGATGTATTTAAATTTATTGAGTTTTGCTTCAGTATTGCCTAATATATGGTATATTGTGGAAACTTTTCCATGCACCGGGAAAGAATGTATGTTGTGCTTTTGTTGAGTGGTGTGCTTCTTATACTTTTAGGAGTTCAGATTTGTTGGTTGTTTGGCTTAGCTCGAATGTATCTTGTTTAATTTTTTTCTAGTTCTTTCTTTCATTAAAAGTGGTGGTTTAAAGCTTCCTGCTATTATTATGGAATTTTCTGGTTCTCTTTTCAGTCCTGTTAGATCATGACTTATGTATTTTGGAACTCTTTCATTGGGTGTGTAGATATTTAACATGGTTGTAGCATGCTGTAGTTTGATCCTAAAGTCTTAATATATTATCCTTCCTTGTCTCTTTTGCTGGGTTTTGCTTTAAAATCTATTTTTATCAGAAATTAATATTGCCACTTTTGCTCTTTTTTGTTTGCCTGTTAATTGATATATGTTTTTCAATCCTTTGGTTTTCAGCTTCTTTTAGGTTTTGTGTCTAAGCTGCATTTCTTATAGAAAACATTGACGGGGGCCCGTTTTCTTATTCTGCTAATTTCTGTCAAGTGACTGGCACATTTACTCCATGTACATTCAGTAATCATTGATAGGTATGAATTTACTGCTTTCATTTTGCTGGGTTGTGTATGTGTGTGTGGTGTTCTTCAATACATTTTTCTTTACTAAATACATTTTGTTTAAGGATTTTCTTAGTTTCCTTTTTGCTTTAATGCTCCCTGAGCCTTTTTTATTTTTCTGTATTTTGGAGAGAAAGCTTATGAGTTTTCTTAGATTACCTTGTGAATTATTGTAACATTCACAGATTCAGAAGTCTGTTTTGTCAGGATATTGTCTCCTTTTCATTTGGAAGTTTTACAATTACATGAATCATTACATCTTTTTGCTCTGTAATTATCATTATTTTCAAATCGACATCTCTGGTTCACCATTTTCATTGCAGGTTTATTTTATTTTTGATAGTTGTGTGTCTGGTTTAGACTTCTGGTGTGGCACTGTGGGCTCAGCACTGAACTGCGAACCACAAGGTCGGCAGTTCAAGTCTGCCAACTGCTCCTTGGGAACCCTATACAGCATCACTGTGAATCAGAACTGAGTTGACAACAACAGTATCTTTTTTGATTTCCAGGTGATGTTGTCATGTGTCATAGTGCCCAGTCATTGCAAGCTTTTGTTTGCCTCCCTTTAACATTTCTTGTATGGCTTATCTGGTCTTTAAAAATTCCTTTAATTTCTGTTTATCTGAGAATTTCCTAATTTTTCATTGTGTGTGGGGGACAGTTTTGCTGGATACATTATTCTTTGTTGGAAGTTTTTTTCTTTCAGGGTTTTATATATGTCATTCTACTGCCTTCTTGCTTGCAGTGTTTCTGCTGATACACAAATGTAATTGTTTAATTGGCAAAAAGTTGCAAAAGACTTGTACAGAGTGTTTAAAAGTACACCTATAAATGCATCTTAACCCTGTTCCCCCAACTCCCCATGGCATTTACTGAGCTGATTCTCAAATTTATATGAAAGAACAAATATGCAACAATAATCAGGATTACTTTGACAAATAGTTAGAATTATTTCATAGATATGATA